AAAATCCTTGTCCCAAAGACTTTCCCTTTTCTTCAAATTCACTTCTTCCAAATCTGTATAAACATTTTCTTACAGCACCTCAACACTGTCACTCTTGCCATCTTCAGTTTAAAACAATAAAGCTTTAGTTCTTGCTCTCCGTGGTAAACTTCTTCAGGAGGGGATTTGTTTTTGTTGGCTCATACAGCAAGGACCATAATGTTGGTACCTAAAGAGTAGTGTGCAGGTTCTGCAGCTAGCGTGTGAAATGGATTGCATAGCAACCTCTGGGGTGTTTTATTGTTTGTTGGAGAAAAGCAGCTGATGATTCATTTCAGCAGATATCAGCAAAAAGTCAGAACTAACTCACCTGCTTAAAGCTACAGAGAGCAAAATCAGGGTGGGGGTTTAGCTGGGTGTGATAGTTTAACTTGGCTGGCAGGCAAACAAGACACAACCACTCACAGCCTCCCCCCTGGCAGGGAGTTGGGAAGAGGTTTGGAGGGGTGAAGGTGAGGGGACTTGTAGGTTGAGATAAGAACAACTTAATAATTAGGGTAAAAATAAAATTAAAATAATAAGAGTAATAATGATAACAACTCTATATGTATATGAGTGATGCAGAGCACAATTGCTCACCACCCGCTGATAACGATCCCGGAGGAGTGAAAAGGAACCCCGAAACCAAAATCACAATCCCAGAAAAGCGAGCCCGAGCTATTCCTGAGAGAATCCCCTCTTTCCAGTCAATCCTGGTTAATACACTAACCATGACATTATATGCTCCGGAATATCTTATTGGCACATCCAACTGTCAATTCTGGGTTTTTCTAATTAGTACACTTTTCTTCTCCACCCCCCAGTTCCAGTCCTCTGCTCTTGGAAACTGCACAAGCACTTGTAGTTATCAACATTTCTTCTCATAACAATCCTCACTGAAACCAAAACACAGTGCTTCCTAGCTACTACAAAGAAAATTAACCCTATCCTAGGAAAAACCAGGACACTGGGATATCGGGAGTAACTGCGTAACCTCAGGAGAAATGTTTGGTGAGGATTGGTTGTTCCGTTAAGGGAATTACTGAAATATCTTACAGCTTTTTTTTTTTTTTTGGTATATCTACATAGTTGGAGATTTTCAACCAAAATTTGTTTTAAAGCTGTCACAAAAGATAAACTAAGTAAATGACCTTTAATTCAAGTGGTGACTCTAGTTCTGTTCTTCTCCGTCCCACAAAAAGAATGCCCCTAGATGAATTCAGCATTCCTGAAAAACAGTTTAGGAAAGTGAGTGCCCAGGTTGTGCTCCAAAGGTCTGAAACATTTCTATCCTATGCTTTAGCTGACCAACACCAGGCTGAGAGCTTTTCTTAGAATACACGTGTACATGTGTACATATCACAAGGAGTAACTGTTCTGAAGTGAACTGTGTTCTTCTGTGTAACTTCTTACAAAATTTAATGGATTTTAAAAATTAATGAAAAACAGATTTTGATAGCAGTGATGTTGGAAATTATTTAGAATTACTAGCTGTAAAGAACTGCAATGATGAAATTACAATGAGGGAGTGCAGTGATAGCCTGAGCTGCTTTGCTTGCTTTCTTAGATTGAAGAATAATGTTGTTATCTGGGGCTCTCCTGGGTGAGCCTGTCTTTGCAAGAACAAGGGATTTCGGGTCAGCTGCGTCATTCCTTATCGGTGTTTCTCATTCTCACGCTTGCAGTGTGTAATATGCAGATTGACCTGCTGTTTGGAGAAATAAAGACTGCCTAAACAGAACAGAGATGAACAGTAATTTGGTTTAATTTCCATATAAACATGTGGTTTGTTGTCTTTCACTATTAATACAAGCACTTATTTTCCAGTAGATTAAAATCAGTATTGCATGATTAACTGGGGATCACGGTACTAGTTTGAAGCATCCCTGAGATTTGGAAGCCGCCTTTCACCCTCTGTGGGGTTTTTATTTATGTTGCTGTAAGTTTTTGCTATTAACATCAAACCACTGGTTCATGTTTTGGTTTTAAGTCATTGTCCTTCCAAGACTTTCACTTTTTTTTCCTGCTTCAGTAGACAGGTTTTATAGGAAGTATTTAAGAGGCAAAATGTGTAACTTGGGAAGGGCTGCACTGAACTGAGCTGTCACCTGAAGTGGGATAATGACAGCAAAAAAATTCGGATGGTAAAGTGGGCTGTTGAGTGGGGCTCAGCTTGGTGGCTGAAAAGAGTGATTTGAAAGTAGGAAGATCTGACAGTTTGTCACCAAATGTCCTCATCCCTCTTGGTGGCTTCTTTGTGACTGTTTCCAAGTGGCTCAGCTGCTAATCCTGTGTTGGGCCGTGGTTTTACCTGCAGTTACAATGACTAGTGCTGCTACCAGGATAAACACTTGTTTTTGGCCTTTCTTAGATGCTTGTGAAACTACATTGGAAACCAGATTTGGGTGAAAGAGGAGCAAAGCTAAAAATGAATGGATTAAAATACTCAAGCTTTAACACTGATCACATCTTTCATGGAGTCCATTGTGTGAAGGTGGGAAGTACCTGGAGGACAGGTCCGTTCTTTGGGTGACAGTGCTGTCTTGAGTAACTGAAGGTGCCCTTCTAGATGGGTAGACTTTGTAGGAATTTGATGGGTTATCTCTCACTGTTTGAGCTGCTGTGCCGCCCTCCCTTGTGTCCCTGACTTGCAGCAGTCGTGATAGTTTGTAGTCAGAAGATAAACCCTCCATTGGCTCAGAAGCTCAAAAGCTGGTAGCAGTGGGTGGTTCATGCACAAACCAAAGGTGGTGGTTAATGTTTGGGTGGGTCAGCAGCCTGGATTGTCGAACTACCCTGCAACTGGGTTGTGTGAATGCTAACATTGGCACAGGGGAAGGTGGGAGTGCCACGCAGCTGGGAGGCAGGGTGGGTCTGCTATAGGCCTAATGTAAATTTATTTAAGGTGCTGTGGAGTCATTCATGGGCTTACACGTGCTTTTTTACTAGTCCTCTTGTACTGTGTCAGACTTGATTCTGCACTGATGACTTGCTTAAACAAGGATCCATCGTACTGTCATCTGCTGTTTGCTTCATGTTTGATGGAGGTGTGCCTCAATGATACACTCAGGCCTCTCAGAACCTCTTCTTTAGGAAGAAATTTTTTCCTGTGAGACACTGGCCCAGGCTGCCCAGAGAAGCTGTGGCTGCTCCTCCCTGGAAGTGTTCAAAGGCAGGTTGGATGAGGCTTTGAGCAACCTGGTCTAGTGGAAGGTGTCCCTGCTGATGGCAGGGGGGTTGGAACTGGATGAGCTTTAAGGTCCCTTCCAACCCAAACCAGTCTGTGATTCTCTGATAACCATTGTACCTCCCCTGTGACCTTTGCGTATAGGGGATGGTGTCCACATGGACACAATATGGTTGTGATCTGCATTTGCCCAACAAGTTGTAGTCAGTCTGTCCTTTGGTTGCTGCTGGTAAATTAATTTAGCCTGTGCAACTTGTTTTTCCAGTGACGTGATTAATAATGACTGGTTTATACCCTTATTGTTAAATTACATGAGAAGGCTTTTCTGTATTAGTCCTACCACAGCTGAGGGTGCCATTTGTGGTTTTCATGGTTAGCACAGCTTGTGCAGAGACATCTCTGTTGGCTCTGAGTGTTCTTCAGAGATGTGCCTTAGTATCCATTTCTATTTGGGTTTTAACTACATTCAACTAAGATTCTGAAGATAATTTCTGTCCTCATAATTGAAATACAGTTAATTGTGTGTTATGTGGATGTTCTGTTCAACCAAGGAACAAGTGACAGGACAAGAGGAAATGGCCTCCAGTTGTGCCCAGGGCAGTTGAGATGGGATGTGAGGAAGAATTTCTTTGCTGAAAGGGTTCTGAGGCATTGGAAGGGGTTGCCCAGGGCAGTGGTGGAGTCCCCATCCCTGGAGGGATTGAAGAGTCGTGTAGACATAGTGCTGAGGGACATGGGTTAGTCATAGGGGACTGGTCAGTGTTGGGTTCATGGTTGGACTCGATGATCTTAAAGGGCTTTTCCAATCCAGACAGTTCTGGGATTACATACGAACCTGGTACTGGCCAAGGCTTGTTAGGGGGTGACATGTCTTGCAGCCCATTGTAAATACAGCAACACAGATGTGGCTTCAGCAGTGTTGTAGGTGAGGTTTCTGAGAAGAGGCAGTATTCGTGTTTGGGGGTTTTTTTCCCTTGTTAATTTGGTGTTGAGGTTACAGATATCTTGTCTGTTTTTTGTGGTTACTGGTTTTACAGTTGACTGCAGAAGATCCACAGTTAACCGCAAGGAAGTAAAGTTGTCACCCCCCGTCTCTCCCCTCCCCCTTTATTTTTTTCTGAGATTGGAAAAAAGCTGAGTAAATTATAGTGACAGCCAGTGAAAGGCAATAAACAAATTAAGTCTATTCTGTCCTTATGTTTTATACCTTCAGGAAAATGGACTGTGCAGCTGTTCTCACTGGTTGTCAGATGTCAGAAAATCTACCTGGGAGCTTTCTCTTGAGGGACACATCTTTAGGAAACCAGAGGTTATGGGTTCTCTTACTAATGTAAAAGTGTTGGTGAAATTGGAGCCATCAACTTAAACTACAGTTTTCTGCAGAAGTCTTGCCCGTGGTAGTTGCAGCTGTTATGAGTTCAGCTGTGTAGAGATGCTGTCAGGCAATTTCCCCCTTTGTGCAGATCACTGAAAAGCTACAGGAAGACAGCAAACCCCGTGTGTTTGAACAGAAGTGTTTGGGCTTTAGGATACAAACGTATGTAAATGCAAAACTTACCTTCCAAGCATAAACTCAATCTTGAACTTGGTGGGATCTACAGGAAAGCAGTTTTGTAAGTTTGTGTTTTATTTATTTTTTAGGGGTACCAGAAGATGCTTCAGTGGTGATACTTCTCTCACAATGCAAGTTACGAATGAAATTCATTAACTAACATCCCCTTCCTCACCCTGATTTCCAATAGACTTCCTGTAACACTTGGAAGAAAGGGTCAGGGGAGAAGGGTTGAAGGTCACCATGAAGCTAAAGCAGCGAGTTGTGCTATTGGCCATCCTCCTCGTCATCTTCATTTTCACAAAAGTTTTCCTTATTGACAACTTGGACACCTCAGCTGCCAACCGGGAGGACCAGCGCGCCTTTCACCGGATGATGGCCAGCCTCCATGTCGAACTGGACCCCCGGCTTGACCATACGTTGCAGTCCCCCTGGGAGATTGCAGCCCAATGGGTGGTGCCCCGGGAGGTGTATCCCGAGGAGACACCCGAGCTAGGGGCTGTTATGCATGCCATGACGACAAAGAAAATAATAAAAGCTGACGTGGGATACAAAGGGACCCAACTGAAAGCTTTGCTGATACTTGAAGGAGGACAGAAGGTTGTCTTCAAACCCAAGAGGTAAATATTGCCTTCAATAACTGAATTAATAACTGCTTTATGTATATTTTTTTTATCTCCATGTTGTTGCATTAATGTTTTAAGTTACAAATTTACACGTAAATGGAAAGGCCACTCTGTGAGGCAGACAGTATAGAGCCGTGCTGTTCCTCTAGTGACACTGGTTGCTGTGCCAACTCTCTCTGAGGCTGTGTAGCTTTGATGCTCGAAGTGGCCTGTCTTTAGGTTAAAAGAGTCATCACTGTGCTCAGTCCTGAGGGAATGTTGGTTAAGCCTGATATTTCTGAGCAGTATCTTCCCGATTGTGGCAGTGCAGGTTCTGGCAGTGTGGAGACAAGTCTTGCCTGCTTTTTCTGAGTAAGGGTCATGTCAAACTGCCATGAAAGAATGCAGTTCAAGAACAGGGAGGGAGTGAAAGTTGACAGTGGTCTTAAAAGTAGATCTGGGTGTCTGGTGTAGCTACATGAGGACTGTACAAATGGCTTGGTAGGTCAGAGTGAAAGCGCCTGTCTTTCCTGTCTGCCAGTAGTGAATAACATAAGAATGGGCAGGTAGTGATACTCCTTGGCACGGTCTCTGTTTATGGTGATCAACAAGAAAATTTGATATGATTGAACATTTATGAAGAGTCTTTTGCATGTCTGTAAAGCCTTTTAAACTGTTTGCCTTCAGGGAAAAAGAGAAGAAAGATAGATGTAAAAATGTGAGGCAGGTGTGTTTTATGGGAAACAAGAAGTGTTATCATCGCAGCATGAGTACATCTCTCTCCAAAGGGTATTGGGTTGAGCAAGCGTGAAGTTTTTCCTGTCGTGTTGATGAATGATTAGAGAATGAGAAAAAAAATAAATCTACCCTCCACTTCTTGGATTTGCAGGCCTGTTTCTTTATGGTCAATTACTGGTCTGACTGGAGCTTCACTGTGGGGCTGGGCTGTGTTTAAACAGTGTGAACCTTTCACACAGAAGTCTCGGTGGTACAGCAGGTGGCTCGTCTGATAGATGTAGCAACAAGACGTGGCATTTCTGTATGAGTGAGTGCTGTAAAGTCTTTCACCGAGCATTAAATTACACTCTACATAACGGAAAGTCTGTGCAGGGCTCGCAGTGAGTGTGCTCCAGCAAGGACATGTGCAGCTGGGACTGTGTGTAGGAGTGCTTGGCAGTTTACAGGAAGGATGGACAGCATGGTCCTAGCCATACTGGTAGACCACTACTCCGTGACTGCTGAATAGCTAGACGTGTAGGTAGAGTCCTGCTCTGTCATTGCAAGGTAGTCACTTTAACTAGCTTTTGACCTGAAAGGTATGTGGAAGTTACTACTAAAAACCGTTTAGAGAACATTACTGGTTGGGAAGAATGAATTCTCCTGATTTTCCACCTTTACTCTAGAAAGGACTAGATGCCTATTGTGCATGGAAGCAAGGAGTTGGTTGTGCTTTACCAATAAGTTTTAGCTCTGCAGCTTCCAAAACATAACCATGTTTTCAAAAGCCATGACTTCGAGACCGTGTTCTGAGGACTAGCTATCTCATTTCAAAGTGACTTGGAATCCAACCTGTTACCAATGATTTGTAGTTGCTACCATCACATGTGAAATAAGATGCTTGTTTGTTGTAAGTTCCAATTTGACAGTAATCTGTCAGATCCTCCTCCTAAAAACTCCATGCCATCTTGCACCAGTTAATTCTCTTTTGAGCTGCCTTGCAGAGAAGCTAAAATATTTCCTTGGGCTGATGAGCTGGACTGTTGTCTTGCCCAGGAGATCTTTTCTGGGCAGGGTTAAAACATCAAAGTACAGCACTGTGGCTTCTCTTACACTGTTGCTGCTACTGCTTGAACTCCGAGTCTGTTGGAAATAATCCAGTTTACATAATTTGTTACATAGGTGGAAATGAGAAAATAGGTGATCTAATTTGGCCTTACTTTATTTGAAAATGTATTGCATTTCACCCATTTGCTTGGTATTGATTGTGGTATTTCCTGCTCGTCTGAAGCATGCTTCTTAAGTGGTATCTAGACCTGATTCAAATGTCATGAGCCTCAGAAATGAGTGTTTGCCTTGACTATTTAAGCAGCATCTATTAAAAAATAAAAAAGAAAAAAAAATCCCACCACTTCACTAAAGTATACCATTGTTGTTGTAATGAGTGTCTAATTTCTGTTTCTTGCTGTTCATTGTCTTTTCTCCACCAGAACAGAGAGTCCTTTTATATCCACTATTGTCCTCAGGTTCATGCTTGCTGATCTTCTAGCTACTAAGGACTGCATTTGGCATTTCTTCCACAACATCAGATTGTATTTTCATGTTAATCTCTAATCCATTGTAACCCCAAAATCAATTGTGGAATTGCTGCTTTCCAGTATAAATAGTCCCCTGTTCTGTAGCTGGATCTGTGCTCTTTGTTCTTAGATGTGACTTGGCATATGGTTGAATTAAAACTCATTAGTTTGAATGGGCACCACTTCCCAAGCTCTTGAGACCACTGTGCATTACTGACCTTTCCTCCTTATTTACTACTTCAGCAGTCTGTACTCTATTTAATCTCATTAATAATTTTCCCCTCTCTCATTGGCAGTCATTTTGAAAGTGACCCAGAGTCTGTTTAACATAGCACTGTTATCGCACTTTGTTACTCTGAACAGCAAAATGGGTGGAAATCCTGCATGAATCACTTTATTTGATTTATTTCAATTACAGGTATGCCAGGGATTATGTAGTGGAAGGAGAACCATACGCTGGCTATGACAGACACAACGCAGAAGTGGCAGCCTTTCACTTGGATAGGTATGGAATTACTGAGTTACCTCGTTTTATTGTCCCTGGTAAACACTTTTTCAGAGTTGGGGAAAAAGGAATCCCTTGGAGAATACCCCTCAGATGTGAGCTGTTTCTAATTCGCCAATATACCACACTGAAGCCAAAAATAAAAAATTATCTTTTTTGCAAAACTTCATTTCAAAGATCCGAGCAAGATTCTAACGTTTAAGATTTTTGTGCAAAATTTGAAAATGAGAATGAGCACTGAAACCACTGATGCTTCATATTATATGGAAGAAAGAGCTTAGCCCAATCCTGTGGAAGAGCCTGAAATGCTGCATGTATGTACTGAGTTATGTCCAGTACACAAAAAAGTTAAGTCTAGTGTCTAGACTAACAGTTTAGTCTAGACTAAATATGAATCAGTGCCTCCTAGAGGCAAAACAGGTATTCATGTATTAGTTGTATTCAATTAATACTCTCCCAGTATCTCTGTGGAATGTAGACTGACCCTTTTTCAGAAGGGACAGTCTCTTTTCAGTCTCTTCTTCTGAGATGCAAAGGCTACCAAAAGGGTATCAGAAGTATATTAAGAGAGTTGGGGCTGACGTTGCACTGCTGTTTGTACTCCTCCTTTAAGCACTTTTAAAATTCCATTACAAATACCCACATCATATGTGGTCACAGAGCAAAGACTGTGGCAGACATGGAAGCGGAACCTGGATCTTGTGACTGCAAGTTTTATCATTATTCTCCCACCTCTCTTTTTTTTTTTCTCCAGACACTTCAGGCATTTGGTTTTGTTCTACCATTCTCTCTTCCCTTCTCCCCCCTCATGCCAAGAAAAATAACTCCTGGACTGTTTACTTTCAAATATAATTGAATTTGGCTTAAACATAATATTTTAATAGATAGCAATTCCCACAAATTATAAATGATCTTTCCAGGTGACCAGCCCAAAGGCCATATGGTTACTGCTTCAGCCTGTCCACAAGACGGATGATGGATATTTCTGCTATGAGGTGTGATTTCTGAGAGCTGGAGCGTGATGCATCCTGTGTTGCTCTGCTGCTGATGCTCTAATAAAGGAATGTCACTGATGGCCTATAAAGCAAGTTTAACATCCAGGCACTTACGAAAAAGTAGTTTCCTTACTTTGCCTTGGAGAAGAAAGGAGGTTGCTGCAGGGTTCCAACTTTATTCTTTGGACAACAGCACAGAGATGTTGCTTTTGGGTTTTTGGTTTTGTTTTTTCTTTTTAATTTAGAACTGCTGCCTGTGTTGCAAATTCTCATGTCATTTGTTTTTTTTTTATCCCAAATCAGAATTCTGGGTTTCCGACGAGCTCCACTGGTGGTTGGCAGGTTTGTGAATCTACGTACAGAGATCAAACCAGTTGCCACAGAGCAACTTCTGGGTACCTTCATGACTGTGGGTGAGTGGATTCCATGGATTGTGCTGCAAAAAATGTGTTTAATGGGAAAAAGAGCTGTGGGACTCTGCTATATTAACAGTTATAAACAGTTAATTATGATACAGGAAGCTGGTAAGTCTCTTTCTGTGCCAGCAGAGATTGTAACGCTTGTATAACCCCATTTGGCGGGGGAGGAGGACTTGATTTTCTCCAAATAGTTTTTCCCTCTGTAACTTTTCTGTGTTCCCTCGTGCTGCTGTTACAGATGGGTTTGGGGTTTTTTTGAGTAAGAATTTTCTCTGCTGTCAGAGGTGGTTAGAAAAGTCTGTGATTAGACCTGAAAGGAAAAAAAATTGAACTGTATTTTAACGTGAACACAGTGGTGATTTGGGATGATTTATAGAACTGATGCGTCGGTGGGTGTTAGATGCTGTTTGTGCTACATCAGAGTCTCTGAGTATTCATAACTAAATGTGTCAGAGCTTCTGTATGTTGTTTACAGTAGTAATGATATGAAGGGCACTTAATGGGAATTATTAATGTGAACTCCTACCAGGTGGTCATTAAGCACCAAGAAATTACTTCTGCTGCAGCCTTAACTCCTTCAGGCTTTCGTGAAATATGCAATTATTACTCTTTCTTTCTTTAATAAGAAGACTCCAGTGTTGATTGTTCATTAACAGCTGATAAATATGTGTGCCTGTGTATATTTCTATTACAAGCACTCTCGGCAGTCTCACTTACTAAATTTGCCTAACACCTTCATTAGAAGGTGTAACTTTCAGGTGGGAGTAGCTCTGCCTTGCCAGACTCTTTCTGCATTCAGGTTGGGTGTCTGCCTCAGGCAGACTTTACTTTTTCTAATTTCAGCCAAGATAACTAAGCAGTTTTCTAGCAGAAATGCTGACTTGAAAAGTATGGCTCCAGAAATGTTCATTGCCTTTCCTTAGATTTCCCTGGAACCGCCTGTTCTGCAGAGCGTGAAGCAAAGAAATGGACAGATCTGGGGAGAAGATTATGATCTCTTGTCAAACCAAATTTGACCAAGTTTCTGATGTTTTGAAGAAAAAATAGTTCTTGCATACTCAGTGCAGATTTGCTAGAGTTGCAGCTAGAATCTCAAAGAATTCTGTCTCTTGCTAGACCTGCTGCAGGCCATGGATAGGAAGAGAGGCTTGCAAGGCTTTCCATACAAAGAAGAGATCTAGTCTACTGCAAACTCTGTGTTGGAAATTATTGTCTGTCTGATGTCTTCAAGTTGTCTGACTGGGGAAGTGGGAGCACGAGAGCCAGGTCTGGATGGAGGACTGCAAAGGAGTGCTGGCTGGCTAAAGAATTGTTGTGTGGGATTTGGGCCTATGGTGTAAGCGTGGAAAGTGAAAAATACACCTTTCACTGAGCTGGGCCTAGTTTGGGGAGGATGTTGGATGTAGAGCCAAAGGAAGAAAGAACAGGGAATAAATGGAATGACAAGGAAGTGAGACATAGTTGAAGAATATTTTGGAAGAACATGGGTGAGTATGGAACTGAAATAGATTTGGCAAGAGTCAAGTGAAGACAGGTGAAGGGTGAGGTAGAAAAGGTTAAGCTAAAAATGTTAATCTAGGCTATGTAGATTACTTTACAGGCTACACAGGCCGTAATGAACTAAGGACTGCACAGTTTCGTTGTTCCTCTCCTCTCAGAAGATTTCTGACAGATCTACTTCACTGTGAGGGTGGTCAGACCTGGAACAGGTTGCCCAAGGAAGTTGTGGATGCCCCCTCCCTGGAAGTTTTCAAAGGCAGGCTGGATGAGGCTTTGAGCAACCTGGTCTAGTGGAAGGTGTCCCTGCTGATGGCAGGGGGGTTGGAACTGGATGAGCTTTAAGGTCCCTTCCAACACAAACCATTCTATGATTCTATGTTCCTATGTGATACAAGAATGACAGCTTGTTTCTCTTCCCCCTGCTGAGTCAGCTCAAGTAACTGAGATGTGTGGCAGGTCTCAGGGCTCCAAATCCATTGGAGTTCTGCTTGGTCTTTTTTCACTTGTCTCTTTTTGGTCAACTTTTTCAAAAAAGTGGGAAATCTGACACGTGAATTGTGAAATTTAAAAAACAAGCAGTGCTGTAGGTTGCAAAGTCAGGGTCCTAAGGACTAGGAAGGGATCACAAAAACTAGTTGATAATGCAATGTTGTATTAACTCTCAGTGTGATAAAAACATTAGAAAATAGAATTACTCTCTCCTTTGAATATTAGTCTTTAATGTCACTTTGAATTAATAGATATCTGTTTAACCTCCTTTGAGCCTGAGAGAAAGGAAGCATGAGGTCAAGTGCAGTGAAATCCCATTGCAGGGAAGGCTCTGCTGCAACAACATACTTGCAGATTTCAGTTGGCATGCCTTGGATTCAGTTCTGCTCTTTTGATACCTTTCTCTTTTTTTTTTTTTTTTTTTAGGTAATAACACTTGCTTCTATGGAAAGTGCTACTATTGTCGGGAAACAGAACCAGCTTGTGCAGATGGGGACATCATGGAGGGGTCAGTGACTCTGTGGTTACCGGATGTCTGGCCTCTTCAGAAGCATCGGCACCCATGGGGTAGGACTTACCGTGAAGGCAAACTCGCCAGGTATGAGAACATGATAGGGTTATTCTTTATACATGATACTTTGTTCTAGAATTATGCTTGCAGTACAGTGGCTAATGAAGGAGCAAGTGTTCTCAAAACCTAGAGTTTTACTGACAGCTTTCTTGATATGGTACTAGAAGCCAAGAAGTCTAGGATAAGATTTAAATTAAAATGAGCAAGAAAGAAATTTTCATGGATTTCCACAATACTAAGTGCTGTTCTTTTCCTGCTTTTTGCCCAGAACAGAAATCCACCAGACAATCACTCTGAGCTCTGAAAATCTTGGCCCTGGGCAAACTAAGACTTTTCTCATGTGGCACTAGACCTTCTTTTGACACTGTGCCTCACTGTGGCCCACTAAGATACGGTGTTGTCTTCTGTCAGACCTGATTTCATGGTCCTTGTAGTTTGTTTCAAGAGTTGTGGAGCTGGTTTAGCTTAAGTAGGTAGGCACTGAAAAGTTGTTCTTTGCTTTGAATAACATCAGTATTTGAGTATTAGAAGCTCAGCATCTAAAGAATGCTTTCAGAGGAGGGCAAACGTGGGATCTAGCAATCTCGTACCGTAGATGTAATGTCTCTGAGTATTTGGGTTGGAGATGGTTTTGCCCTGACCACAGCAAATGGGTTTGAGCTTAGTAAATTTTTTCCAAGTCTGTGTCCTGAACAAGTGATTAGGAAGAGATTTTTTTAGTCCTTGATCCAAAATATGCAATGATTTCCAACAACATGATTGTTCTCAGAAAGAATCTCATCCAAAGGCTTCATTGAATTGTTTTAGAGTATTAAATGTACAGTTTCGTTTTTGAGCAGCAGATGTTCTCTCCTTTTCAGCAGGTCAAAATTAGCTGTATTTAGTACATAGTAAATGGCAGTAATGAATAGACTCAATTTCCTGGAGGTGTTTCTTTTCTGAGAGACTGTTTTCCATCATAAACTGCCTGCTTGCACAGGAGTTTACCCTGATACCTCTGTTGATTTGATATTTACTGTATTTTAAACTTCCTCTTGCCTCGTTCAGATGGGATTGCCTGGTTCTGTTGTTTTGCACCTTGTCAAGTTGCGCTTTTCACTTTGAGAGCATTAGGAGAATTAAATGTTCTAGATGTCATGCTCTCCTTTTTCTGTGTCTGGTAATTATGGAAAAATAACTGTAGATTTTCCAGATTTAGCTGCTTCTACTCCATTCTGAATTAACCTTTTGAACATAATTCATATAGTCCCATTAGAGTACATAATTTTTAATGGACATGTAATAGATAAAACCCCTGACATTCAAAATCCTCTGCTAATATAACATAAATTATCAGAAATAAATGTTGGAGAAAGGTCTATCTTGAAAGATGAAATGGAAAATGAGAAGAGAGAGCACAGTATCTCTGAAGTATTGTTGCAAGGAGATTAAGTACTGATCTGAAGTAAAATGAGAGAAAGAGAAACACTTGAGGGAGAGGGATGTAGGCTAAAATAAATGTATCCAGTACAAGGAGGAGTACATTCTGAGACTTCTTCCTCGTGCATTTGTGTTATGAGTTGGACCTTGATGCAAAAGAAAGAGGGAACTAGAGACAGCTTTTGAGGACTGTGTGTGACATGTCAACAAAAACTTTGAGAAGATAAATTTTTGACCACTCTTATTTGAGTAACTGGAGGAAAGATGGGATATTGGGAGCTCAGGCACCAGATCTCTGGAAGATGACATGGGGTATGTGGCAGTTCTCGTAGTTAAATTCTGATCTTCTCCCTCTTATGACTCTCTGCCATTTTGAGCATGTCAGCGAGTCTCTCCAGCTTGTGTTTCCTCCATTTCTGTTTCCAAGTCACAGATGGTTTAAAGCATTTCCAGCTTAACTGCTATTTTGTGAAGGATTGTTTCAGCCCTTACATGGAAGATGTTATAGATGTACTTGTTATTTACGTTGACAGATGGAAAGGATATACACCAGAGATTTGGCTGTTTGGTGGTGATGTTGAATAGCTTTGAAAGCTGTAAAGAAGAAAATGAGAAAATTTTAAATCCTAGCTTTGGAGAATTGAGACCTGACATCCCTGTTACAAGACCACAAGTACCTACCTAGGTAATGTGTAGAAGGAGAGGAGAGAAAAGGAAGCTTGAAATCTTACCAGCGGAGAAGAAGGGGAGAAACTCTGAAAGGAAGGTGGGGAGGCCTGAGACAACTGTGAGTGAAGGAGATTAAACATACATGAGGCCCTTCTGAGGATGGAGGAGGTCATTAGTAACTGTAATGAGGTTATCTGCATTAGAAAGAAAAAATGAGGATCACTGGAAAGCAAGTCTGGTGGAAGCAGGTCAAGGCAATAGAAACAGACAGTACTGAGTCCTTAGAAGTTAAGGGAGGCCAGTCATGATGGTAATCCTGCGGTGAGGCAGCCCAACTACTGCTGAGTTAATGAGCGGTGACAAGCAAACTCTGACCTTGTTTTCTGTAGGTAGATGATGTGTAACCTTGCACTGGAACTAAAGCTTGCTCCATGTGCTGGGGTGTTAACACAGGATTTATTCTTTTAATAAAACATTTTTATCTAGCTCTCTCTTCTCTGTATAGCCTTGACTGCTGCACTCCCCTTTCTTTATGCACTTGTAAGTGAATAAAGGGGTGGCTATAAATACCATTTATGTGCATTCCTTGAAGATTTGATTTGGCTTCTCTTGATGGCTCGCAGATGGGAGTATGATGAAAGTTACTGTGATGCTGTGAAGAAGACTTCACCCTATGACTCGGGCCCTCGTCTCCTTGATATCATTGACACCGCTATCTTTGACTATTTGATTGGGAATGCTGACCGGCATCACTATGAGAGTTTCCAGGATGATGAAGGAGCCAGTATGCTCATCCTCCTGGATAATGCCAAAAGGTGAGGGTAAAGGAGATCCTGTCGGCCAGGCAGTGGTGAGCACAAAGGCACACATTGCTCTGCTCTTTATCTCTCTGTTTTCTCTCTCACTAATTTTTTCATCAATATCCTTTGTGCTAAGAATCCAAAACTTTCCTTCGTATCAGAAATTACTCACCAAATATTAGGGTCCTTCAAAGGCCATGATGCTTACTCTGCTCTAGATACTATGACTGCTTTCTAGAGCTTACTCTGCTCTAGATACTATGACTGCTTTCAAAGTCTTACTTTACTACAGAAATACACAAGTTAGCATAGTATGACCTTTTTCCCCAAGCAACTTTCAAAGGTTTGCTTGTGTCTCTCCTCTTATCTCCAAAAAGCCCCTCCCTTTTATGCTTTTAATTAATGGAAGATTAAAAACTTAGGATTTATGATCTCCCAGTGAGCATTAGTGAGTGCTGTAGTAAAAATAGATCTTTATAAAACATGGTCTCTGAATAATTTGTCATTCCCTGCCTTCTGGATCTCTCTGCTCTGGCTTTAAAAGGTTAAAAGTTTAAAATGAAGCTAGAACTGATACTGAGAGCAAACTATGATGGTGTCCTGAGTGTGGACATGAACTATAATCAAAACAAAAACGAAGCACGTAGTAACTGAGAGGAACTGATGAGAAGTCCTTCTTGAGGCCAACTTTACTTTTAAGCATGTATGTTTAAAATGTGAGTTGTTCAGTCTTTGCTATGGTTTTTGTGTGTTGGCTGGTATGGTTTCAGTTAAAAATCCTGTTGAAGACACAGCCTTGTTTAAATCATAACAATTCACTTCATTTTTCTTAAAAACAAAGATCCCTCTTTCTCATTTTCATAAGGGCAATTAATGACAGAACAAGGGGAAATGGGTTTAAGCTGAAAGAGGGGAGGTTTAGATTAGATATTAGGAAGAAGTTCTTCACTGTGAGGGTGGTCAGACACTGGAACAGGTTGCCCAAGGAAGTTGTGGCTGCTCCTCCCTGGAAGTGTTTAAGGCCAGGCTGGATGAGGCTTTGAGCAACCTGGTCTAGTGGAATGTGTCCCTGCTGATGGCAGGGGGGTTGGAACTGGATGAGCTTTAGGGTCCCTTCCAATCCAAACCATTCTATGATTCTATGATTATTTAGTCCAGAGCTTCCAGAGGGGTTTTTTTCTGATGGGCACTACCATCTGCAGTGGCAGTGAGTTTCCCCCTCCATGGCTGGACCAGCTTCTGATGGTTAGCTCTGGCAGTTCCTCTGCCAGGCTCTGCTCTGCGCTGGCTTTGCCTGCCACTTCCCTGAGGTGTACACAGCAGTTGAGACCTCTGATCTAGACAGACCCTTGGAAGGCTTGGAGTTACCATTTCTTTCCCCGCTTGCCCTTTGTATAGTGGATTCCTTCCTTCCTTCCTTTCTTCCTTCCTTTGTTTCTAATTTATCAGCAGTGGCTGAGTATTTTGTCTTTATGCATCAGCCTGTTCAGTAACAGTCCTTAAGTTATGTCAACAGGATGCATTCCACCTTAGGACTGCTTAATTATTGCTGCTTTCAAACTACCTTAGGTGAATTTGGCAAAAATTGTGTTTCTGTAATACTCTGGCAATGTGCAAGGAGGAAGTGAAATCACTGGAAGAGAATATGTAGTTGAAGGTCATGTCAAACCTTTCATTATGGTATGTGCTTATAATGTTATGAAAAAAAATTCCAGTGGGGCTTTGCAGGCCCGAAGTAAATTGTTTTCTTGAAAGTTTAAGTAAAGTTCTTTGAGCTCCTTTGAGATAAGGGATAGAGGGACAGTTTTTTCATAGAATCATAGAAGATCTCAGGTTGGAAGGGACCCATAAGGATCATCGAGTCCAACTCCCTGCTTCTCGCAGGACTACCTAAAACTAAACCATATGACTAAAAGCATCATCTGGATGCTCTTTGAACTGTGACAGACTTGGTGCTGTGACCACTTCCCTGAGGAGCCTATTCCAGTTTTAAAGCTACTAATAACAGAACTATTTGAGCAGAGTAATGCCAGACTCCTCGAGTAAGTTACCTTTATTGAGGGGAGAGTTCTCTGTTGAAAACAGTATTATGAGGAGGGTGAAAATATTTTTCATAAAAACAGCATGTGTTTAGATTAAGCTTGAAACACTATGACATGCTTTTGGCAAGCCTCCCTGAGAAAGCGTGGTCATGAAATGTGAGAGTTGATCACCTTGTTTGTTGAACTGTTGATCTAAGCTTGGCCATCTAAACCAGCACGTGGTTACGATTTTGTTCATTCTCTGTCCGGCTGTGTCAGACAGGCAAAGCTCCCGCTCTCTATGTCCAGAATACCAATGACTCCTTTCCCCTGCTTTGCAAGATGAGCTCAATTTCTAAACTCCTCTGAAGTTCATTTCTAAGGTGTCTTGGTCTGATAAAGAACTAGGTTGCTGGTGTTGCTTCCGTTTACCTGGAGTGTTAGTTAATGCTTTTAAGAGTTATATCTGTAATTGCTTATGGCCTGTTTATATTTTAATTTAAATTATTTGAGCTGTTGGAGCATGAAATTGCCTAGTATTGATTTTTTGTAATTCTTTACAGTGTAATCTGTTGATGTTGAGAACAATGTTAAGAGTTCAGCTGGGTCACTTGGTTTTAATTTTGCTTTTCAGCTTTGGAAACCCTGCCCTGGATGAAAGAAGCATCTTGGCTCCTCTTTATCAGTGCTGCATGTAAGTGAAACGCAGAGATGCTCTTCATTTTACTTAGGCAATTGTTGTCCATAGGTTTGCAGTATAATGAAGTTTGAAGCCTTCTAGCAACTGGAAAAGGTTTGCTCAGATGCCTAGTGCTTTACTTTTTTGAGGTACTTTGTTTGATATATTGTCACTGCTCAAGAAGCTGAGAAATACATTTTTATTAAGGTAGCACATCAGCCAGTAGACTGTAGGAAGTGGTCTTGCCTGCAGGTCACTGGTTCAAATCTGTCCTTAGTCAATATGACAGGTACTCTGTGTCTGCAGCTGTCTCCATCCAGCTCCCACCGAATAAAAGTTCACATCACAGTGTGAGTTCTCCCTGACAGAAGCTCAGGACTCAGCGTGTCTGGCAGCTTAACTACCTTCATTTCCAAATGTTCTTGCTAAACAAGACTGCAGCACTGCTCCAGGTGCTTCTTTCCAAGTTCAGTTTGTAGGTTTTTTGCAGGATTTTGTTTCCACTTTGGCCTTGTGAGCTGTGGTTTTGTTCATTTTATTTTTAGAGGCTACGACTTGTTGATTTCTGTTTTCTGTGGCTGCTTTCTCACCAGGCCATTGCTACTCCTCATTAACAAATAGATAAAAGCACCAGGAAGAAAAATACTGATATATCTGTTTCCTGCAGCTGTTACTTCAAGGTAACATTAAACCTTCCAAAGTACACATTTAGTTGAGAGTTCCTTGAGCCTGTCCCTGGAGGGTTCTGTCTCCTGGATGCTTTGAGACCTGTGAAACCTGGGAACTCTGCAGAAAGCCTGAGCTTTCACCCCCTGCCTGTGCTGAGCAAGGCTTGATGCACGCTGCAGTACACCTGGCTTACATTCTGCAGGATTCTTGCAGAATCCATATGGATTAAAAAAACAGGACAAGAACTATTAAAGTTAATTATTTTCAAGTTCTTTAGTTTTCCTACATTAATTTTGAATGCATTTTTGATTTCCTGTTTTATGAGGATCTTTTGGAGTCTTTCTCATCTAGATCCTCCCAAATACAACCAGAAGAGAAGTTTATCTATGTAAGAGACTTTGCAGTTTTCTGCTTTTCAGATATCCTTTCTTTCTGATACCAGGCAAATGCCGTGTAGGAAATCACATCCATAGTAGTTTTCACTATCGGTTTGTCACAACACTTGCTTATATTGCTGGATTCTTTGGAGGCTATCAGAAGCCAAGAGTTTAGACCAGTGGTGCTAAAACATGAACATTTGGGGGAGAATCCCAAGAGATTTCACAGAGTAAGACTGTTTAGATGGGCTGACATGAACAAGTTCAATGGTCAGTGAAACAGAAAAATCATTACCATGTTCACTTTCCGTGGGAGTTCAGGTGACTGACTTGTGTCCTTTGTGGTTAATTGCTGGTCAGCGATGCTCTTCCTGAGGTAATGTGAGTTTTGTTTTTGAATTAACAGCCAGACTGTTAATTTTCTTTCCTTTTCAGATTGTGTCTGGGAGGTGTCAGGACTGAAGATCTACCTTGCTAGCAGTTGAAAGTGTTCCTGTAGAGCATAAGAATACGTCACATTAGATTCTTTCTTCTTCACCTTCAGTTTTCAAATTTCCCTTAGATACTGTATATAGTGCATTTATACCTGGACCCAAACCCACTTTTGTAATAAGACTCTCTTCTATCTGGATAAAATCATGATGTGACAGGCTCCCTCAAGAGGTTGGCTTTGGTATTTTTGATGGGACTCAGCTGGATAGTGATACAATGACATGTTTGTTTCTTTCTTTTGCAGCATCCGGGTTTCTACCTGGAACAGACTCAATTACCTGAAGAATGGAGTACTGAAATCTGCCTTAAAAACTGCTATGTCTCATGACCCCATCTCACCAGTGCTTTCTGACCCTCATCTGGATGCCCTAGACCAGCGGCTTCTCAGCATTCTGGCTACAGTGAAGCAGTGCACAGACCAGTTTGGGCCAGATGTTGTGCTGGTGGAAGACAGGATGACACTGTCTCATTTGTAATTGTAGTGGAACACAGATGAAACTCCTTTTTTAAAAACAAACAAACAAACAAAAAAGTGATAGAAAAACAGCACAATCAGTTCAGAAAGGCTGTGGCCAAGATGGACTGAAATGAACAGGAAAGTTTCTGAACCAGAGGAACAGAGGTGACGCTGGCTTTTACCTTGGGCTGACAGCAGTGAGAGGTGGGAAGTGGGAGCCTTGGATGGCTCAGTACCCGTAATGGCATCTTGGCCGTTGTGGCGTGTCCATTGCCGGCAGTGGACATTGCACTGGATAAAAATGGCTCTTGGTGTTGGTGGAAGTGTGTGGAATACAGACACTAATTTGTGGACTGAATCTACAGGGGACAAACAGAGATGAACAGTATGATCCTCTCCCCTTCTCTTCTTCACACATACTCTTGCGAGTTTTTGTCTGATTCAGGGTTGTACATAATCAGCTGTGAGC